CAAAATAAATAAAAAAGACAAAAAAAATAAATAAAAGACAAAAAAATTAAAAAAAAATAAATAAATAAAAAAGACAAAAAAAATAAATAAACAAAAATGGAACTAGAATCTTGCCACGTCCTCGTCGTTAGTTTTGGGTTACGCAAAGTGCAGGAGAAAAAAAATGCCAAAAACGCAAGCGGTGCAAAGAAGTATAAACGATTCACTCTCGAACCACATCGACAGTTTTGCAATATCTGTGTTAATAACGGAGATACACACTTTCAGCGGTATTCTCAAAAACCAAAAAATCGCTGTATTTTGGAACCGGTTGAGGTACAAACGAAAACAAAAGTGGTACAAACTGGTACAAACGATTCTCTATCGAATTCCATCGATAGTTTTGCGATATCAGTATTAATAGCCGAGATACACACTTTCAGTGGTATTCTCAAAAACCAAAAAATCGCTGTATTTTGGGACCGGTTGAGGTACAAATGAAAACAAAAGTGTACAAACGGGTACAAACGATTCTCTATCGAATTCCATCGACAGTTTTGCGATATCTGTATTAATAACCGAGATACACACTTTCAGTGGTATTCTCAAAAACCAAAAAATCGCTGTATTTTGGAACCGGTTGAGGTACAAACGAAAACAAAAGTGGTACAAATAGGTACAAACGATTCTCTATCGAATTCCATGGACAGTTTTGCGATATCTGTATTAATAACGGAGATACACACTTTCAGTGGTATTCTCAAAAACCAATAAATCGCTGTATTTTGGAACCGGTTGAGGTACAAACGAAAACAAAAGTGGTACAAACGGGTACAAACGATTCTCTATCGAATTCCATCGACCGTTTTGCGATATCTGTGTTAATAACGGAGATACACAATTTCAGCGGTATTCTGAAAAATCAAAAAATCGCTGTATTTTGGAACCGGTTGAGGTACAAACGAAAACAAAAGTGGTACAAACGGGTACAAACGATTCTCTATCGAATTCCATTGATCGTTTTGCGATATCTGTGTTAATAACGGAGATACACAATTTCAGCGGTATTCTGAAAAATCAAAAAATCGCTGTATTTTGGAACCGGTTGAGGTACAAACGAAATCGAAAGTGGTACAAACAGGTACAAACGATTCTCTACCGAAAGGTATTAATAAAATTAGAATATCAAAAAGTGGGGCTCCGGCAATTTTTCAAAATTTGTTTCCCTCTTTAAGTTCTTAGGTACAAACGACTGTAAAGGTGGTACAAACGAGTACAAACGATTCTCTATCGAATGGTACTAACAAAGCCAAAATATCGTAAACTCGGGTTCCAGGTTCACAGAGCTACGTGAGAGGACAATAAATTAAGATGATTTAACGTAACTTACCTCTATACTAATCGTAAGTTGTACATCCGAGTCAACTTTGAAGACCTATAACTCGTCTTCAAAGTTGACTCTTAAATTTTTAAAACATTCAATATCTTCGTAATACATTAAGCTAGAAAAACCAAATTTGGTATACGTTATGAGTGTACCAAGTGTATTAATTGGTAGCAAATTGAACTTAATTGAGGCATTTCAAAGGGTTGATTAAGGGTGATGGTACCCTAAAGGTTGACAGATCTTTTTAATATTTTGGCGGATTTAATACATTACTACTTCATTTCATGTGGAATTTAATTCTAAAACTTTTCTTACTCTTATTATTTTTTTAAAAACTTTGTCGTTTTCGTAAAAAACTTAAATAACTAAAGCCACGTAATTCGTAATGTTACTTAAAATAAGCGAAAATTCAGTAGTCGGCTATGAAATTGTACGTCAAACTTGACAAATAGGTTATAAAGTTATTTGACGACAAGGACAAATTTGCAGTTAGAAAATAATTTTAGTATGAGATGTTAGCGTTCTAAAGTTAATAATTTTCTAGAAAGAAATTAAAAAATTGAATTGACACACTGAGTTTTCGGTAAAATATTAAAAGTTGTTATTGTGTTAATTCAATTTATTATTTGCAAGATTTTTTCCTTGAAAATTATTAACCATACGTCTTATACAGGCTGATTCGTTACTAATGGGACACAGAGCAACAGTGAATTCCTTACATTAAATTATTACGATTTAACCTAATTTATCTTACAATTAGTCCACTTGTTAATAATAACGAGGATACAGATGGGCAAAGTATACAGCGTGTCCCGTATCTTCCGCATCAGAGCATTATACGGTTGTAGGATACATTATTCTGAAGCGATCTTTCTAATAAAATTTTTTCGAAATGTTTATAATAACCGCACGGGAACTGTTTAAAGGAACTGTTTTTCGTCCAATCAGCAGATCGCAAATCAGACTCAGGTAATCGGTGCCACCCTCGGCCGGTCCGCTACGCCGATGATAACTCGTTTCCCACGTGTACTCACCAATGGATTCGTCACGCGAAGAGAAATAAACTTTTTCGGTGAATCAAACTCGTCCGCTATTGGACAAAAGCGGATAACTTTAAATTGTTCCCGTGCGGTTATTATAAACATTTCGAAAAAATTTTATTAGAAAGATCGCTTCAGAATAATGTATC